TTGTTGGTTTAGGGTTTATACCTTTTATATAGCTATTATATACCCATTATATAGCCCATTATAGGGTAGGGGTCCCCATTAAGGGTCCTTTAGAGGCGCTTTGAGGTCCCTCCTGAGACTCCAGTCGCAGAAAAGAGGCCTTACCAGTTGCACCGTCAGTGCCGCCAGTCGCTCCCGAAGTTGTCAGGCAAAGTCCTTTATAATTTATAACCAGGGCGATTGGGGCGACCTGCTAGGTGATCATTTCCAAGCGTAGACTTCCGAACGGAGCTCGTGATCTCAGAACCCCAAATAAACCCCCAAACCCCTAAACTAAACCCCTAAGCCCCTGAACCCTGAAACCCCCAAAACCCCCAAACCCCTCCAAACCCCTCCTAAACCCCCACCTGAAGCCTAAACTCCGAAACCCTAACCCCTAAACCCCTAAACCCCTAAACCCTCTCCTGGACCCCTGGTCCCCTAAACCCTAAACCCCTAAGCCCCTGAAGCCTAAACCCGCTAAACTGGGCTCTCGGCGGTAGCTGCACGAACTCGGCCAAGGCTTGGTTGGAGGAGAGCTGCCTTTGCGGCTCAGGGTTCGGGGGTTTAAGGGTTTAGGGGCCTAAGGGTTTTAGGGTCTTTGGTTTGGGGTTTCGGGGTTGACGGGTTTAGGGGTTTTGGGGTTTTTGGTTTAGGGTTTAGGGGTTTCCTTAACCCCTGAAGCCCTAAACCCTAAACGCCTTTGAGAGGCATCTGCCATGCTCAGGCTCAGACGCCTGGCGAAGGCCCCTGAGGCTCTGTTGCTGGCTTTTCTCGTCCTGGGCAGCTTTGTTCCAGGAGCTGGGAGTTTCCGAAAATAGGGGTCCTTAATATATCACCCTAAACCCTAAACCCTAACCCCTAAACCCTAAATAGTAGGATCCTTATTATAAAGACCCCAAAGGGAAGCTTTGTTCCAGGAGCCTAAGTCGCTTAGCTTGGAGAGTTGAAAGGTTTAGGGGTCTAGGGGTTAGGGGTTTAGGGGTTTAGGGTTTTGGCGTTTTGGGGTTTAGGGTTGAGGGTTGAGCCCTAAACCCTGAGCCATAAACCCTAAACCCTGAACCCTAAGCCCTAGGCCCTAAGCCCTGAACCAGCCCTGAACCCTAAGCCCTGAACCCTAAGCCTTACAACCGCGAGAGGTGGACGGACTGGCGGAAAGCTGGGCTTCAGACCAGCGGAAGTCTGGCGAGCACTTCCTGTTCGATGCCATCCTCATAGGGCTCTAGGGTTCTAGGGTTTAGGCTTTAGGGTTTTGGGGTTTTAGGGTTTTAGGGATTTAGGGTTTCAGGGTTTAGGGTTTTAGGGTTTAGGGTTTTAGGGTTTAGGGTTTAGGGTAGCTTGTCGCAGCAATCGGAGGACATGTGGGAGTTTCTGAAACTTAAGGGCACCTTATTTCGGGGTCCTTATAATAAGGATCCTACTATCTTCGGAAACTCCCATGTGGGCATGTCGGGAAAGAAGGGACCCCAATATAATCAGTAGTAGGACCCTCCGCATAAGGACCCTAAACACGGCGCAGCATCCAAGATGTTCTCAGGGCTCAGCCGGCGTGGAGAGCTCCTCCACGCCTAGCAGCTCCTTGCAGCCGCGAATGAGAGGACAACAAGAAAGAGCACTGACAATCCATACCGTCCTCATCACCATCATGATAATCACCGCCATCAAGAAAATCTCTCGCAATCATCATCCCGTTAACAGGAGTCTGCACGTCTGTGTCGGAAAGTGGCATCTGGAGGGAGGAGGGGTCCCATGCTTCTGGTCTTGCCTCAAGTTCCGCGGCAGGCTCGGGAGCCCAAAACTTAGCATTTACTGCTCGTCTCTTTGGGAAGCGGGCTTGCAAAAAACGACTTGTCTTCTGTGTTGAACGAGTTTGATCCAGTTCGATTTTGGGGTTTAGATTGCACCATAAAATATGATATCGTATACACCACATAGTACACTTTGATGTATGATAAATATGGTACAACATGATGTCACACAACATAGTATGACATGAGAAGGTCTGGTATACTATAGTGTAATATGGCAAAACATGACATGATGTAATACATTTTATAATGTATGTGGTAGATCTTGCATCGTGAAATTTGGTAGGATATAGAAGAACATATAGTAGTAGAATAGAATCTAGGGCTTAGGATCTACGACCCGAACTGTGGCGCGGGCTGGCGGGTGTAAAGTTTGGGGCTTCGAAAATTTGGGAGTTTAGGGTTTAGGGTTTAGGGTTTAGGGTTTAGGGTTTAGGGTTTAGGGTTTAGGGTTTAGGGTTTAGGGTTTAGGGTTTAGGGTTTGAGGTGTGGAGCCTGGGACTGGCGACTCGAAGTTTAGGGCCGTTTAGGGTGTTTGGTTTAGGGTTTAGGGCCGTTTAGGGTGTTTGGTTTAGGGTTTAGGGCCGTTTAGGGTTTTTGGTTTAGGGTTTAAGGGTTTTCTGAGTTTTTGGGATTAAGGGTTGAGGGCCTAGGGCCGTTTAGGGCTTAAGGGTTTAGGGCCGTTGAGGGCTTAAGGGTTTAGGGCCGTTTAGGGTTCAGGGTTTAGGGCTTAGGGATCCAGGGTTTAGGGCTTAGGGTTCAGGGGAAGATCCCACAGACTCCGATATCCCTTAAAGGAATATTCCTTAATACTAGGGATCCTACCATAATTTAAGGTATATTCCTTAATTAAGGGGTTTTGGAGTCTCTGGGTTCAGGGTGTACAGTAGAAGCCAGACAGTTGGAACATCATTAGCCTCATGCCCTTAGAGTAAAGTATAGGGAATCCCAGCATGAATCATCGTGAATCGATGTTCCAACTTTTTGGGGTTCACCATAGAGTTTTGAGGGCTCCTGGCACCGTGCCCGCAAGTCGCGCTCCAGGCAGCGGAGGGCGCGTTCAGCAGCCAACTGGGCGCAGCGAGCTCTACTCTACTTGGAGGGTCGGGGGACTTAGTAACTGGTTATTTTAGGGACTTATAAGTACCGTAACCCCAATTAGGGTCCCGTTTAGGGTTTGTTATAAGTCTACTTACTACCTAAGATGTGCTTCTCCGACGCTCGTCATATGCGGGAGATTTTGACAGTTCGGCTCTGCTTGTTTTCGTTGCTGTCATCGAACTGCTTCTGAATTTCTGGATGATTGCTACTGAGAACTGGGAACTGTCGGAAGCATGAAGACCACATCTTCAACCAAGCACAAACCGATTTGTGCCTGGGACTTTGTGGTAGCTCCGGCTCCACGCATTTTCCGCGCCAAGTGTACTTAAGCAGAGTCACACACAGCAATTCGCAGAAGGCCCCTTCCAAGGCAGGTGCAATACGCTCAGTTGCCCCGCGTCTTGCTGGTGCCAAGTCCTGTCAGGTCCACATCTTCAGCGATCGGATTGCCGGCACGAGGCTCCCTTGAGATCATGTAATATAGGGGCCTCAATGATCAGAATAGGTTTTTGGTGGTATAATATAGCATAGCTATCATACAGAACCCTGGGTAAGAATATCGGCATTTGTTTTGGCCCCTATATTATCGCTGTCCAAGGCCTCAATAGTTCGTCGCAACATCTCCGCCCTCTCCCCTGCGCTCATCGCTGCTGCAACCGCTGCATCCGTCTGAACACCTTGAGTCCGCGCGCAGGCTTCGGGATCATGTGTGCAGGGCCCCTTATCTACATGTTACGTGATCCTGATGTAGGAACCTGATTACGAAACCCTGGTCCTACAGCCCCCAAAACATTAGGATCCATATACGGAGGCCTAAATTTCATAGAAACGCAGGGTTTCTTAATCAGGTTCCATGGGAGTTTCCGAAAATAGGGGACCCCAATACAGCACCCCAACTGGTAGGATCCTTAATATACGGACCCCAACATAGGGTACCCCTATTTTCCGAAACTCCCACATTACTTTTTCAGGCTCCTGATGTGTGTACACCGGCTTTCAGGCCCGGCTTCCTCTGTGAAAAGCCCACTCCCAAAGACTCCAATATCCCTTAACTGAGGAATACCTGGGGTTAGGGCTCCTTGAAGGGATCTATAGGGTTTAGGCTTTGGGGGATTCTAATGTCCCTTAATAAAGGAATATACCTTAAATTACAGTAGGACCCCTAATATGATTTGAGGTATACTCCTCAATTAAGGGATATTGCAGTCTCTGGACTCTCCACAGCTGCACAAAGCTGCAGGTGTTTCTCAGCGTCGCGCGGATTGAGGACGTCTCGCGTCGACAATTATTGCATCTTGTGAGCGTATGTTAACACGAGGGGCCACGGCGACTCGATAATGAGTCCACCATCTGCCAGTCTCAGCTTTGCTGGACAGATTCGCGGGAGACACCCCAACTTCCCGGCTCACAGCTGCCCCTAATTAAAGTGCAAGGTCTCACATACAGACAGATCGGACTGACCTGTTGTGCAACTGCACTGGCCATCACGACGACAGCGTGGATGCTCCACATGTCCTGACAGTTGCCAAAACCACATTTCGAGTATGTCCCCTGTAGCTCCCGGAAGATTGAATGTGGGAGTTTCCGAACAGAGGGGACCCTAATACAGTACCCTAAATAGTAGGATCCTTATTGTAAGGACCCCAAAATAAGGTACCGCTAATTTTCGGAAACTCCCATGTGCAACCCCGGTTCAGTGCCGAGGGGGCAGATGCGGGAAGAGGATGAGTGGAAGCAGCAGGAGGATGCTCAGGGCGGGTATGATAATCATCACCACGACGACGCGATGACGGCGACACCACGATGAGGACTACGAGCACGTCGACCGCCGTGATGGCGATGATGGCAATGACGATGATGACTGAAAGAACAACATCAAACTGGGCATGGTGCGGAGATGATGATCATCACCACCCCTATGCCCACTATCATCGCCAGCATGACGACGGGAGGGCTTGGACGTCAAGAACCTGAACCCTAAACCCTAATTTCCTAAACCCTAAACCCAAACCCTAAACCCTAAACCTTGGATGTCCGTGCCTTGTGTCAGCTCGTGATCTCCAGGCACCATCTTCAAGCGCCAAGCTCAGTGGCATGTCGGGGCAATTCTCCCCTCGAGACATCCACCTGCAGCCACAGCTGAGAGGTGGCACAGATGTAGGTGCTAGGTCTAGGGTCGTGTTTGCTGTGGCTAGATTTTCGGTGTCCCGCCCCCATGCTTGCGGAGGATCCCACCCTTCTTGCCATACATGTCGCCTCGCCTTGGGAGATCCAGCCGCAGTCTTAAGATCTTTGGACACCTGTTCCATGTCCACGTCCTGCCGGCTTCAAAACATCTGAAGAGCACCATGGGTGGATGCAATCTCGCCTCGGTCGACTCGGCCACAATCTTGGCCTCTCCAGCGGATGACTCCATTTCGACATCCTGCCAATGGCTACAAGGAATAGTGAACTGATGCATGCACTCACTCAGACTCACATGGGAGCTTCCGAAAATCAAGGATACCTGATTTTGGGGTCCTTATAATAAGGATCCTACAACCTAGGGTAATATATTGGGGTCCCCTATTTTCGGAAACTCCCACATCCAGAATCCCTCACAGAGCCTGTGCAGTCGAAGGGGCCTCTGTAGCCGGAGTGCTCAGTCTCTCAACCGCAGCCATTGCGGCCGAGACTTTCCTGGCCCTGTCTTGCGCAAGGACCTGCCGAGGCACGAACAGAGCAAAACTCACTCTTGTATGTAAAAACATGTATACATCACTTTGTTCATGTCTATATCTCTAGAAAAACATATATATATATATATATACATACATACATACGCACGTGTATACATATACATGTATACACACGGAGCGCCTGATGGACCAAGAAGTTGCTCCTCTCAGCCTCAGAAGTGCAAGTCGAACGCCGAGCCGCGATTGAGGGCGAGGACCCCAAACCCTATAGCCTAAGCACTATGACCTCAACCCCAAACCCTATGCCCCAAACCCTATACCCTAATTCCTATACCCTAAACCCTACACCCTAAACCCTACACCCTAAACCCGAATACCCCCAAAACCCAAAGTTGAAGCTCAGATGGCTGTGCGTCACTGTACCGGGCCTCGCGGGCTGCCAGGCTGCTGCTTGCCGCCTTCTCGTCGGCCTCCCGGGCCTCTTTGTGACTATGTACATACGTACATACATGTATAGTGTGTATATATATATATACACACACAATACAAATATTTATATGTGTGTATATATATACACATATACATATACAGATGTATATGTATATACATATATACTTATAGTATTATCACAGTATATCTATATATATATAAACAGATACATATATATATATACACACACTATACTATACGTATGCAGATACATATCATATACACTATGCTATATACTCGTGTGTGTGTGTGCTACGTAGATAATGCATGCGTCTGTGGGCATAATATGTCGTTGCGACCGTGAGCATCGATGTGCACTCTCTTGAAGGTGTTGTGAAGCCTTCACGCCTCCCTGACTCAGTCTCCCACCTCCACGCAGTCAACAGCGGCTTGCAGGTTCCGAGCGGAGGTCTCTTTCTTCTCCTCTTGAACCTCACGTAGGGCCTCCGGTCGCAGGGTTTACGGTTTAGGGCTTATATGGGTTTAGGGTTCAGGGCTTAGGGGTCTAGGGATTAGGCCCGGGAACGTTTGTCCCGCCTCACAGCCAAGGGCTTCTGCACGTGCATCACGGACCGCAGCCTCTGCCTGGCACGGACATTCCCAAGCCCATGTGTCTCTTCATTGACATTCAAAGTATTGCTGCAGTATGCCTCGCCTCGGACAACTCCTGCGCAAGGCTCGTCTGGAACTCCAATAAGGCCTGGATGGAAGATCGGATCACGGAGTCGCATTGGCGCTCTAACTCAAGCATTCCGTGGTAGCTTGAGCTTCCCGAACTCGGGTGACGCGCTTCTCACTTCTACTTCCCCAAAACAAGACACCGGAGACTGCGCTGGGCACCTCTGTAGCAGTGTCCATGGTCAACTTGTCGAACTCCCCTGCCAGTCTAGGTTTCTGCTTCACAGTAACGGACCATAAAGCCCTCAAAACCCTCAAGGCCCTAAACTCAAACAGAAACTTCGGGGAACGTGGTAAATTGGGACTGTCGCCTGTACAATCACCGTCATTGCCATCAATGAAACTGTTGGACCTGTACCACAATCAACCCGAACAGCATCTGCATCATCTCAGCCTGCTTCATCTCCAAAAACGTTAGGAGAAGACGTGACAACGAGAGTACTATAGGGCCTACGGAAGTAAACGCTTCATCAATTAGATACCACTGGCCTCACAGGAGTGCCTATCTTCGGAACCCCCCCCAGTTCCCCTCAACACCGAAGCCGCAACCGAAGCGCGGAGCGCTATGCTGACCAGACTGGCCCAAAATTTAGAAGGGGCCCCCACCCTGTAATAGTGGTAGAATAGGAATACAATAGGGCCCTAATATAATCCTTGTAGTCACTATTACAGGGTGGGGGCAGCTTCTAACCCAAAATTAGAGCCTAAACTAAAACCCCGAAAAAATCCTCGCGCTCCTTCTCCCTAACACCAACTCCCCGAAGCCCTAGACCGCTAGCCTACACTCCTGAAGCCCTGAAGCGCTGAACCTTGAACTTTGAAGACCCCGACCCCAACCCCGAAAATCCTGAACGCCCAAACCTTACAAAACAGAACTAAACCCTCCATCCTACGATGACGATACCCTCTGTACGGGAGCCCTTATAATAGCCCTCATCGTCGCCCTTATAAGCCTCTTTACACAAAAAAACATTCTGATGATCTAAGGCCCCTATAGAGTGCCCTCTTTACGGGCGCCTCGCTCCGCCGCTGCCAACTCCAGGGCCGCGGGCAAGGCGTCGATCAAAGTTTTCTCTGCCGAGGCCTCGACGACACGAAGCCAGATCGAGGGTTCGAGGAGTTGGGGGCTTCGAAGTTGCCTTTTTTCTGGGGGGGGTTTAGGGTTTATGGGTTTAGGGGTTTAGGGGTTTGGGGTTTAAGGTTTTGTGCTTGGAATTAGGGTTTTGGGCGTTAAATTTAAGGAATTGTGGGTTTAGGGCCGCTGAACGAGACAAAGAAGACGAACATCAACAGCAGCGAGGATGACGACGACAACAACAAAAGCAAAATAAAGTCAGAAGAACGACACCAGCAGCGACAGCAGGCAGAGCAACAGCAGCCGCAAAATAGAAGCAAGAGCAACACCAACAACAGCACTAAACCGAAGAATAACAAGAGGTTCAACAACAACCATAGAAGTGACGAGAACGAACACCATTGGCTGAACGGCATTTACAACCGTTATAACCATTTCAACTACTACAACTAGGCTAACTATGACAGCTAGTCTAACTACTCACTATATCTCTACTGTTCTACCTTCCACAACTAGTCTAACTTCTACAACTGCTATAACTATTACAACTTCTATAACGGTTCTAACAGTCTGACAACAAGAAGACTCTGAGAAGACCTGCACCAGCAGCCGCAGCAGCTCTGTTTGCGACTCGGCCCCTGAGTCGGCCTTGGAGGGTGCACCGACCGGCGCTCGGAGCTTCAGGTCTTGGGTTTTCAATAATGTAGATTAGAAGCTGCCCCCACCCTGTAATAGTGGTATAATAGGAATATAATAGGGCCCCAATATAATCCTTATAGTCAGTCACTATTACAGGGTAGGGGCAGCTTCTAAAATGTAGATGCCAGAAAGTTGGAACATGACTTTAGGAGGATTAATGCTAGGATCCCTTATACTCTACCTTAGGGGCATGAGGGTAATGATGTTCCAACTTCCTGGCTTCTACTGTAATGTAGTACCAGCATGTGCAATCATCACCATTCCATTAAGCCTAGCTACAATAAGAATGGCAATTATTAGCAATAACGATTACAACAAAAACAATAACAGAAATAGCACTAATCACAATTCTAATCATAACCGCAGTAGTAATAAGAATAATCATGCACATGAGCCCTTGAAGGTACCTGGACCTTGTAAAACCTTCCTTTTGAGGGTTCCCTATTATGATTTCCTTATTTCATACAAGTCCTTGAAAAGGTAGGACATTTGAGATCCAGGTAGCGTAGTAGACTTCTTGCACAGTACAAGTTACTAGTACTAGGGCACTGGGGTTGGGGGCTTACGGTTGAGAGAACTTAAGATCAGGGGGTTTAGCGCCCAGTCCTCTCAGGATTGATGGTTCAAGGTTCAGGTTTAAAAACGGTGATCTCCAAGAAACAGCTTACTGTCGGCGTTTTAACAGGCAAGATACAGGGGCTCCTGCAGCCCGTTCCGAGAGAACAGGCTGGAACTCCATCAATCCGAGATTGGAACCCTCCCTGAACCCTAAACCCTAAACCCTAAACCCCTAAACCCTGAGCCCTAAACCCCAAACCTCCCCACCCGCGGTTGGCGGTATTAGATCCGGCCTTCAGGAGTGCCAACGCAGAGTCAAGGGCAGCCTACAGGTTACGATGGTCTTAGGATATTGTAGGTGTAGTTAGAATAGGGTCCCTTTTAAAAGGGGTCAATAAGGGCTTCTATAAGGGCTACTATACGAGCTATTATATGGATGTAATGTAAGGGCCTTTAGAACTAGAATAGGACTTTTCGGTGTTCCTTATATTGTAATTATGGTATAATATATCCCCAAGGGTTTTGGAGATGGTGCTATACGGTCCTTGGAGGGGCTGAGAGTCCTGGGTCTCGGCTTTGATGTTGGGGTCGCAGAAACTCTCGGTAACTTCTATCTCGGTCCATGAGAGCAAGGATCCTACTGGGTGGCTGTCAAAGTTATGGTCCCTTTTTAGGTACCCTAAGTATTAGGTGCCGTACTATGGTGCTATATTACACGCCCCAACCCCCCCCGTTTGTCGGAGGCGGCTCCAGGGGTTACAAAGGAGCTGCAGGGCTTGGCATTGAGGGTTTAGGGGTGTAGGGGCTTAGGGTTTAGGGTTTAGGGGTTTAGGGGTTTCGGGGTTGGTGGTTTAGGGGTTTTGGGATTTAAGGGTTTTGGGTTTAGGGTGGTAGTTTACGCTCGGCTTAGCAGTTAGGGGCTTGCGGCTTTCGATTTTGGAGGCTTCCCGTGAAACCCTCTTAGAGCCGCAAGTAAAGGAATAATAAGGATCCTACTATTTAGGGTACTATAATAGGGTCCCCCATTGTCGGAAACTCCCAAATGCCCCAAACCCTTGTGCCTTACAATAACCCTGTTGTGACCTCGTAGGAAACAGTGTGCTTATGCTATCCCTCATGGTCCTAGACCCCTGCTTGGAGGTTCATGGGTAGTCATAAGTATAGGGTTTAGGGTTTAGGGTCACAAGTGCCCTTATATGGGTTACAGCTATAGTTGCCCCTCTTATAACTCCCATTTATAAAACACCCATGAACCTCCCCATCTAGAACCCCTATGCAGCCCTTATAGAACCCCGTATAGATGGTGCCGCGTCGCCGCGTCGCAGGCCCCCCCCCCCCCGCATACCGGGAGGGATAACCCACAACACAAGGAACCACAGGGGCGGGGTAGGATAACCCACAATACAGGGAACCGCAGGGCCCCTTCCCCTTGCCCCTCCCCTTCGACACAGATGAGAATGATGGCGATGATGTTGTGCACCATGACGTTGATGTGCTATCTCCAGTGTGGCTGTTGGTGGTAGCTCCGCTTTTATGTTGCCCTGGGCTTGGGCACTGCATCGAAAACTGTATGGACCGGTGTCATTCCAAGCCAAGTTTCGGTTGGGTTCGTTCAAGGTCAGCTTGAGCACGTGTTTGAGTGATTTCCATTCGGGACTCTTGAGCCTTGCAATTGACCGGAGGAGAGTGCAGATGGGGATCATGACCACCATCTTCGTCATCATCATCACCATCATATTCATCACTATCAGGGGCTTTGGAGCAAGGGGGCGCAGCCAACCGCAACCACAACCCACACCACAGGGAACCACAGGGGGGAGGGGGGATACCATGGGGTGGGGGGGGGAGCGGGGGGGAGGGGGGGCGCTGCACCATAGATCCCTTCTGGATCCCTTAAAGAAACCTTACAGCTCCCGCTTATTTCTACCCATGAACCTACCCTTCTAGAACCCTTATATAGAGCCCTTGATGGTCCCATCAAGGAACCTTATAAACCCCCCTCCCACTTCTAACTACCCATGACAGACCCGATGGCCTTAAACCCTAAACCCTAATCCTAAACCCCAAAACCTGAACCCTAAAACCTAAACCCTACACCCTAGAACCTAAACCCTAAATGGCAGATCCGATGGCCTTCGCTGCGGCACTTTCGTTGCGAGTTTGGACCTTCTTTGCTTCGCTTCGACGACTGGAGACTTCGTCAACCTTCGCTGCTTCCACCTGGGCTTGGGGTTTAGGGGTTGAGGGGTTGAGGGGTTGAGGGGTTTAGGGGTTTAGGGTGCAGGGTTTAGGGGTTCAGGGTCTAGGGGTTCAGGGTTTAGGGTTAGGGTTTTTGGTTTCGGGTTTGGTGTTAGGGTGGACTGCCTGTATTTGGGGGTTAGGGTTTAGGTTTAGAGTTTGGGGTATGGGGTAGGGGTGGCTCGGGCTGACTTGGCGTGACGGCCATGGCTGCGACGCGGACAACCATAGCTCAAATGGAGTTGTAGTAGTCCTCGTCTAAGTAGAAAGTAGTAAGTAGTAAATAGCAAGTGTAAGTAGTGTGTAATATGCAGTATGTAGTATGTAGCAATAGCAGTAGCAGCAACAGCAGCAGCAGCAACAGCAGCAGTAGCAGTAGCAGTAACTGCAGCAGGGAGTAGCAGGGGAGCAGTAGCAGTAGCAGTGGCAGTGGCAGCAGTAGCAGAAGCGATGGCAGTAGCAGTAGCAGTCGCAGCGGCAGCAGCAGCAGCAGCAGCAGTACAAGTACGAGTACTGATGCTAGTGGCAGTACGAGAGTAGCAGCCGGCGTCGTCGCAGCAGTGGGCACGGGCAGTGGCACTAGCAGTGGTGCTCACAAAGGTAGTGGCAGTGCTAGATGTCGTCGTCGGCTGCGATGCTTTCGTCACGAAATCCAAAGAAGCAATGGTAATAATAGTAACAGTCGCAGGAGCAGCAGGAGAAGTGTCAGCAGCAGCTGCAGTGGCAGCAGCAAGATGAAAATGCAAAGCTTCTTGCTGACAAGGAAACCTCTTTCTCCTGCTCTTCGAGCACCGCTGTGGCTGAGGTCACAGCCTCCTTCGCCTGCAAAGCTCATGCTGACAAGGGTTCTTCTCCCAATGCCCAGAACGGCTTCAAATATATATATATATATAGAGAGAGAGAGAGAGGCTTTCTATAAGTTTGTCCAATATATATATATATATATATATATATATATATATATATATATATATATGTATATGTATATAGAGAGAGAGAGAGAGGCTTTCTATAAGTTTGTCCAATATATATAAATATATATATATATATGTATGCATACCCTCGGCCTGCTGCGTGGCGATGCTTGCATTCATGAGGGTCTGCTCAGCTTCCGAGATGCGGGCAGCTGCGGCAGCTGCCTTCAATCCACAAGCGGTCTTCAGACCATCGAAGTCGTAAAGATCCTATTCCAAGTATTATTACCATCATTATTATCATTATGATTGTTATTCAATGATTCTTAGTATTGTTATTCTAAGTACTAAGGGCCCTAGATTACAGTAGTATAGATCCCTTATAGTAGCCCTTAACGGAACCCTTTCAATTCAACCCTATTCTAATTATGAAGGGCCCCATATTATAGAACCCTACTATAGATCCCTTATGAACCCTTTAAGGACCCTTCTTCTGAACAATGCGGCCTCCTCTCCAAGTCGATCGCTTTCCTTGTCGGCGAGGGTTTTGCTGTCCGACAAAATTCGCTGGCACTGCTTCAGGACTTCCTGCACAGAGCATTCATGTGCTAGCAATGTAGAAGTGAGAAGAATAGGCACGCCCATTGTGGCGCAAGGGGCCTGCTGATACGGATGGCCTCCCTCTGCATGAGGAAGAGCTGACACCAGCATGGTTCGGGCACTTTCAGTGGCAGCATCGTTTCCTCAGTGCACTCATGGCTCCCCCTTCGATTGCCGAAAAGGTTACTCGGCCGAGGAATCTGCCAAAGACATCCTCGTCCAGGAGCACCTGCAGGGTTCTGGGCTTAGGGTTTCGGGTTTAGGATTTAGGGCAAGTTTAGGTTCAAGGAAGCAACTCTAAGTTGCCATATTGAGAATGTGAAGGAAAAAGCGCGGGTGTATGCGAAAGTAACCAAGTGTTCGCATAGCAAGGGGGTATAAAGGAAGTAAGAGGCTGAACCAGAAGCCAGAGACTCCAATATCCCTTAATGAAGGCTTGCGCGAATAAAAAAAACTACCGCTCGAAATGTTGACGACGAGGAAGACAACGATGATGATGAAAATTACGATGGTCACGATGATATCGATGGCGATGGCGATGATGATAACGATGATGATGACGATGATGATAACAATCGTGGTAGCAATGATGATGACCTAGCGATCTGGCAAAGGTGACTGTGCAAAGACCTTTTGCCCCATACCTTTTCCACCCACAAACCTCAACAAACTTGCCGCGACCTTCAAAGTCATCGGCCCCACCAGTGTTTTCGCCTTCTGCCGTAAGACTAGCTTTGCAGCCCAGGTCCGGAGAATAAATTCAGGCCGGCTTTTCCCAGCACACAAAAAGCCCACTGCTCAACACGTTGATGACGATGATGATAACGATGATGATGAGAATGATGAAGATGATGGCGATATCGATGGTGGCTGTGAGGATGATAGCGATGTTGACATCGATGATGATAGCACTGATGGTCGCCTAGGGCGCCCAGAAAACTGGACACGAAATCGTGTCCCGTTTTTGCTTCTGCCACATTACCGCTGGGGAAGGTCAAAACGTGCGATTTTGCTGCGCCTGCCACACTTTTGTACACTTCCCTCGGCCGCTCCTCTGTAGGTCTTGTCTTCAGGGTAGTTTTTTTTAGGCGCGCGCGCCTTAATTAAGGAATATACCCTAAATTATATTAGGGATCCCTACTATAATTTAAGGTATATTCCTTAATTAAGGGATATTGGAGTCTCTGGGAAGGAAGTAAGAGGCTGAACCAGAAGCCAGCCTTGCCAACCATCTGGGCATCTGCAGCGGCCTCTGTGCTAACCACCACGCTACGCTTAGGATTTAGGGTTTTAGCATCGCAGCAAAGCAGTGCGACACGCGCATCACAAGCTGGCATAAGGGCGGCACCATGTCGGAGAAGAGCTTTCCACAACTTTGCGAGGCAACTTGCAAACTCGGACACCCTAGCCCGCGGCAGCGAAGGAGAAGCTGAATTGCTGAGCATTCAGACCAGGAACCACGCATCGGAAATCATGGGAGCAGCAAGGGAACCCATAGTGGAAACAAATGCAACAAGAAGAACAGTACACGTAATTAGCTTAGCCCACGTGATCTCGGTAAGATAGTTCTGCCTCCCAGCTCAAGAAAACACCCCGGGCTTCAGCCGAAGCCATGCAGCTAAGGCTTCTTTCCACATTAAATTGATGCCCAAAGCCCAGTTTCCCTAAACCCTAACCCCCCAAGCCCTATTTTCTGAGAAACTCCCTAAACCCTAACCCCCCTAAGCCCTAAACCCTAAACCTAATATTCAAGAAACGGCTGCACCATTCGTTTGGGCTGGGACCAGGAGGATTCTCGGCACTGCCTTTCAGGGCACTGGCTTACAGGGCTTCTTTGGGGTGTTTGGATTTTTTGTAAGGGTCTCTTACGAGCGTTATCGAGTTTTTTACAAGTTTGATGAATGATACACCATGTTGATAAGGATCTTCTACAATGCTGACAAGGTTTTACAGAGTTTTATGAGGAGTTTATCCACGGGGGCCTTTCTGGCCCAAGGAATGAAGTGACCACGAGGGGTATCAAGACTAAGAGTACTGTTAAGGAGTACAATGAATGCTAACTGTAGAGGGCTTTGGTTGTAGGATGGGTCTAGGGCTGAGGATAGGTTTGAAGTTAAGGGACATATCGTGCGGTTACTAGCCGATTCAGGGTCCCATGCGAGGCTGCTGGAAACCCGGAAGGGTGGAACTCGGATTGCGATGAACACCTGGAAGTGGAACTGCAACCGCGGATGAGCGCTCTTGTTGTTCCTGTCGTCCTTGATAATGCTTCTTGTGATGTCTGGCACTGCAGTAGTTGTATTACGTGCCGTACTGCCTGTGCTTGTGCATTGTCCTTGGAGGGCCACGTCGGTTCCGAATCTTAAAAGAGGTCACTGCACACTCCGTGCCGAATTGTCGTGCCATTTCTCGGAAGTTCTCCTTGTTTAGCCAACCCCAGCAGGCAACACTGCGAATATCAGCAGTCAGCAGGACCAACGGCAAAAAGTACGACCAACTTGTCGTGCCTCCGCCTTGCTCGGTAATTCCTGCCGAAACAGTGCACTATGCTGTTATTTCTGATAGTTCCGCATGTTGCTACTGTAAACGCCCATTTTGCCACTACTCTTGTTACAAGTGCCTTGCTGCTCTCGTTGTGCATATCTTCTTGCTCGTTGCGCGAACGTTTCGTAACATCTTTATGTGGCACTCCATCATGCCCATCCCTCAAGCAATGTGAATCAGCGGAAATCATAAGCGGTACCATCTCATCATCACTATCGTCGTCATTATCATCACCATCACATATCATCACCGCTATTTGTCGCAGCAACCCTCATTACAGCTCGTCCACCTCCACAGCTCCACCGTTGAGGTGGTCACGGTCATTGCCGACACTGCCGACACCGGCATGATCGCAACTGTCAGCACCATCGTCATGCAGGACACGTCCCCAGAATCGTGATTCAGTCGCCATCCTTCTGGTCAGAAACATCAGCATCGTCGCCAATTCCATCTTACTGCCTGGGTCCCCGAGGACCTGATTCACAACGAACATCGCTGGCGAGCGCAAGCAAGAGCCTGGTCACCAGCAACATACTTGCAGGTTCATCGGTAGTTATAAGCAGGGTTTTAAGGAGGGTAAGTATACTTATGACCCAAATTAGGGGACTTATAACCCACTGATAACTACCCATGAACCTCCAAGTAACCAAGCACATCCTCATCATCATGTCCGTTTTCGCCATCAACATCATGATAAGCATGGCCGATGTCATTGAGTCATTCGCAGCCACGTCGACATTATCAATATTATGCACTATCACCTAATCAACAGCGCCCAACAGCATTCAGAGATTTTGGTCCTGCAAGTGCCGACGCCACCGGCAGGCTAGCCTGTGGTGGCGCCAAAACCTGCCGGAGCCACGGTAGTGGTGATGCTGATGATAGTAGTAGTCGTCGTAGTAGTAGGAGTAGGAGTAGGAGTAGGAGTAGTGGTAGTAGTAGTCGTCGTCGTCGTAGTAGTAGTAGTAGTAGTAGTAGTAATTGATGTTGTTGTTTAGTAGGAGAGGAGCAACGGCAGCAGCAGCAGCAGCAAGAGTACGAGGAGCAGGAGGAGCAGCAGCACAAGGGATACGGGGCAATATCGCTCCTTCTGTCGTGGACCCGTGCAGCGCCTGGTTGCTAGCCGTGAGCAGGTGCTTCAGATCCACGGCAAACTGCGCGACGAAGTGGGCGATCTTCGCCGTCTCTGCAAGTTCCGGCACCTGATATGGGAATGACGTGATTACCAGCTTTTGGGGCTTAGCTTGTATGCAACAGTAACATGCAAGGGGAAGCGGCGAAGCCTCGTCTGAAGCAGAATCGCCTGCACATGCCAAGATGGCAGCCAACTCGAGCAAATGAGCGAGGCCTAGCGCCGGAATCAAGCCCGGCCAATCACCAACAGAGGACCAAGACAAGCGATGTACACATTCTGTTCTAGGTCGACCCTAATAGCTCCAATTGTGCACGGTAGCTCAGCGACTCACATGAGTGCGGACGCATCTGCAGCAGTCTTTTTGTTGCCATTGAGTCCCCCGGTCTGCAACACTGCCGACTGACAACGAATTCTGAAGCCTAGCAGCACGACCTCCCCCTGCGCGGTGCGGCCCTCAACCGACCCCAGAAGGCTGCAAGGGGCCTGCTTAGGGTTAAGGGTTTAGGGTTAAGGGTTTAGGGTTTAGGGTTTAGGGTCATGGCATGGCCAAGGTTGCCGAAACTGCAGCTTCCTAATGCTGGCACTTGTGGCCACAGCGGCCCTGACATCTCAAGTCGGCGATCAGATCTGTCACATGGACAACATTTCTATGACTGCCACAGCCACTGCGGTCTCTCCGGCGCTCTGCCTTGGCAGCAGGGCCGGAATCTGAGATATGCGATTGAAGAACCGCATACTCTGCGCTGTACGATATAGTCTGCCATATACGAAACTATATTATGCTATACTATACGACACTATACTATACTATACCATATACTTTAATACTATAATATACTACCCTATACAAGTACGATGTTACTATGTATTATGCAGGTGCTGTTCCAAGAGCTACGGTCCGAGGTGCACCCTGTGGACTGCGAGGGCTCTTGGGCGATCCCCTTGGAGTCACGACTTTCTTGAGCCTGCAGCCGTTGTCACTGGGGTTTAGGGTTCAGGGTTTAGGAGTTTAGGGTTTAGGGGTTTAGGAGTTTAGGGGTTTAGGGTTTAGGTGATTACGGTTTAGGAGGTTAGGGTGTCAGGGTTGGGGATTTGGGGGTTTCATGGGCGCAGCTTGGTGCCAAGATAACGAAGGGGAGCCTCCAGAGCTTCGCAGAGCGACGATGAGATGGCCGCCGTCTTCCAAAGCACCTTCAGGGAAGAAGACAGGGTGTAGGGTTTAGGGTTTAGGGTTTGGGGTTTAGGGTTTAGGGTTTAGGGTATAGGGTGTAGGGTTTAGGGTTTTGGGTTTGGGGTTTAGGGTCCTGGAAGGAGGCCCTCTCTCTCGGTCTCTAACCTTGTCCCTCCGTGACATACAAGGTCAGGCTTGCGTTTGGAGTCTTCTCTCAAGATCGAATGCGGCCCCAAACCCTAAACCCCAAACCCGCCCGGCCTTCTGGATTCCTTCCTTGCCGCACATTTCTGAGGAACCCGCCCTGCCAAGTGATCCGCTGCTTCCTCCGGGATTGATGTGGGAGTTTCCGAAAACGAGGGGTACCTTATTCGGGGGTCCTTATAATAAGGATCCTACTATTTAGGGTACTATATTAGGGTCCCCTATTTTCGGAAACGCTGCTTCCTTCGGAGGTGATGTCCCTCCGTGGCTTCACTCTGCGGCCACGGCTTTGCTGAGGACTCGGCGTCCCTCCGTCCAACCAGGACACTGGTCGAGAGCGAGTCGGGGTGGCTGGCTCTTGCGTGGCCTGGGCCTCTGACGCCGGCTCGGCCTCCGAAGGTTTTGCCTCCGCCGGCTTTGCCGGCTCGACTGCCTGGATGGGCGCAGGCGTGGCATCGCCCGAGCGTCGGAAGAGCGCGTCGATGTCATCTGGGAAGAGCGGCGCTCTCTTCGGTGGTGCGGGTGCACCTCCACGAAAGCAGGCATCGATATCCTCCGGAAAGCGGAGCTTCACTTCCGAGCTTTGCCGCGCGTTCTGCGAGGCCTCACGGGCGCCGGAGGCCGGCAAACGCCATCGGTACCGACCCATGGGAGGAATGCCCTTAAGAAGCTCGGATCGTTGGGCTGGGCTCCTTGAAGCCGAAAACAGCGGTACTCAACATGAACCGGGCAGCTCACCGCATTCCTAAACCTCAGTTATGATGTACTATAATATATACTATGACAGACGGTCATGAACTGTAGATTACTAAGATTATACCGTAAAAAACTATCATTAACAATAATATACTATGATAGACTAAACCCCCGCATTCCGTAGCGGCCCCTTGGAGCAGGCAGCCTTGCTTTCCGTTCGGGGGCCGGATCACCTGGCAGCGTTGCGGCGAAGCTTTTCGGGTTTAGAATTTAGGGTTTAGGGTTTAGGCTTGGGTTTAGGTTTAGGGTGAAAGGTTTAGGGTTTAGGGTAGGAACCTGATCAAGAAATCGGCGTCTTTACTAGGGCTCTTCAAAGGGATCCCAATCTTTTGGGGCTTTAGGACCAGGAACCCGTAACCCTAAATCCTTGAACCCCCCTGATTCCCAAAACCCTAAATACGCCTTAACCTACCACCAAATGAACCCCTAAACTCCCAAACCCCCGAATCCTAAACCCCTAAACCCCTAAAACCCTAAACCCCTAAACCCCTCAACCCCTCAAACCCTGAACCCTAGACCCCTAAACCCCTCAATCCTAAGCCCGGACTCATGGACATCCCAACCTTGCAGCTGGCGCCGCCATAGCCTCGGCAGAATCTCGCGAACTTGCGCTTCTTCAACCGCATACTACAATTTTTCAATATACATAAAAAATATCTATATGTATATATATATATATATACATGTAGATATATACCCTTATTATATTTCCAGTATAGTGGGCCGCAAAACCCTATTGTAATTATTAAGGCCCCTATATAGATGCCCCTTTAAAGGACCCCGTTTAAAAGGAAGCCTGACAGAAACCCTATATCTAGTTCTTAAGGCCCCTACATTACGTGGAGCCATGGGATTCAAACCTCTCTGCATCTATACTGAACTTAGAACCCTAGCAAAAATCATAATTTTAGGTGTCTCTTAGGGATTATAATAACCAAAAATTAGAAAATATTTCTAAGCACCCCTAAGTTCCTAAGGCCCCTACATTACATGGAGCCTTGGGATTCAGACCTCTCTGCTAGGTACTACCCCCACTCAGTAATAGTTGAATAATATTCATAATATAGATATAGTAGGACTATTAATAGTAGACTCTTACTGTATGGGGGCCGTACTTAAGTACCATAACACGAATTCGGGTCCCTTTTAGGGTACTTATAAGTCTACTTACTACCTACTTACTAAGTCCCCCGACCTTCCAAATTGGGATTCAGACCTCTCTGCATGTCTGCGACCTGGGTTGCAGGCTGTGAACTTCTTCGTCGCGAGGGGCCGGGTCCTTCGGGGCGTGGCTCTGATGATGGAAGGCTTGGGGCTTCGGATTTAAGGGTTTAGGGTTCAGGGCTTAGGCTTCAGGGTTTAGGGCTTAGGGTTTCGGGCTTGGGGTTTCGGATTTAGGGGTTTAGGGCTCAGGGCTTAAGGTTTAGGTTTAGGGCTTGGGGTTTCGGGCTTGGGGCTTAGGGTCGGGCTCTGATGATGTTTTCAAGAAATCTCTGGTGAAGATCCCCTGCAAGCATCACAGAATAAGGGTTTGGCCGAAAATCAAAATACCCTAAACCCTAAACCTAAACCCTAAACCCTAAGCCCTAAACCCTAAACCCTGTATCGGGCGTGCGAAGTATCTGCACCTCCGCGTTGCCCGCTTCCTCGGGTTCGCCTTCGCCTTCGCTGCCTGTCTTCTCCTGTTGGAATGCGCAGAGACTCCTAGGATCCCTGTAAAGGGATGTATAAGGGTTCCTTTAAGGGTTCCTTTCAGGGTTTTTTTTGGGGTTTAGGGTTTAGGAGACTCTAATATCCCTTCATTAAGGAATATACCGTAAATCCTATTAGAGATCTTACTAGGTCTTTATGGCAAGTTCCTTAATTAAGGGATATAAGAAACCCCCACCCTATAGATCCCTTATGGATCCCTTATATAAAGGAACCCCAGGTATTCCTTACAGAAGGGAACTTGGAGTCTCTGGACACCAAGTGGGGAAACCTGCAAAGAAGCAAAGCAAGCCAGCCTTGGCCGCTTTCTTTGCAGCCTCTTTGGGGGGGTTCTTCAGGACGTCCTGCGAGAACAGGGTTTAGGGGTTTTCGGGGGTCTTTATGTAGGGTTCAGGGTGTTGGTGGCTTTAGGGGTTTAGGGTTTTGTTGTCTTAGGGTTTAGAGTTTAGGGTTTTAGGGTTCAGGGCTTAGGGTTGTAGGGTTTAGGGTTTAGGTTCGGTAGGACAAGATTTGATTTCCTCCCACATTCCCAACTCATCCTTCAGCATGCGCTGGAGGGCTGCAACATCGTTGCCGTCCTGAGGGTTGATTATCTGACAAGAATGCAGCTTGTCGAAAAAAATTGCATTCAGCTTCTCCAGAACCTTGAAAGACCTGTGTAGTATAATGAAATATGGGTTGCTGTAATGCAATATAGTATACGTTCATATAGTTAGTCTGATATGACATAATATAACATCATGTAATACAAAGTATTATAACAGAATACAATACAATATCAGTAGTATTCAATATGGTATAGTGCAATTTCCCAATATCCCAAAACATAGCGTAATGCATTATGCTATAAAATAATGTGGTTGCTCATTATGTGTCCCTCCACCGGCCTGGTCTGTAGAAGGCATGGTGACCAAAACTTTCGTCGCGGTCTTCTCAAATCGGGTCTGCCGCAGGCATGACTTACAAGCTGCCCCCACCCTGTAATTGTGACTACAAGGATTATATTGGATTATAGTAGGGCCCTAGTATATTCCTACTATACCACTATTACAGGGTGGGGCAGCTTCTAAGGCATGACACTGAAGAGGCATGTGCAGATTCCCACTCTGCAGGCCACAACCGCGCTGCCTGTCCCGAGGTTGCCTCATTGCCCGAGCCTCGGAACAACAGCCAGCAAAGCACGCAAATCCAGAACACTAAACTTTATTGCTGTATTAACACTAAATGTATTCACCCTATATAACTGTATTAACACTAAACTGTATTATTCGCCAACCCTCAACCCCCACACGAGACGCCCTTCCAGGCCCCCCGCCGAAGGGTGCACGTCCATTCAGGCTGAAGAACTGGTCGGCAAAGCCCTCAGAGGGGGTCTCATCCGGAGACATGTGATTCTTAAGGGTTTAGGGTTTAGGGCTTACGGTTTAGGGAATCTCTTTTTTTTTGGAACTCCTGTTCTACATGGCCCGAAGGTCACGAGAGGGCAAAACGCGCCAGGAAGTTTAGAGTCTTGGGCCAGTTTAGGGGGTATGAGGCTTCAATTTCGGTGTCAAGGGTCAAGGGCTGGTTTAAGTTCCCTTAAACACGACCCGAAATCCGCAACTTCGAACCCCCAAACCTGAAACCCCAGCCCCAAAGCCCTAAACCCCAAAACCGAAACCCCAAAACCCTAAACCCGAACTCCAGACCCCAAACTCCAAACCCTAAACCCCGAACCCTAAGTTCGCCTTGGCTTTGGTCATTGAGATCCCGGCCAAGAGCCGCCGAGCACCCTGCTCCCAGAAGGAGACCTGCAGACAGAGCTTCTCAAAGCGAGACCTACAGAGCCTTCGCCGAGTACTTAGGGGCCGTATTAAATAGAATAGGGTTCCTTTTAAAAGGGTTCTTAAGGGATATATAAGAGGGGATCTATATGGGGGCCTTGATAATTCGAACAGTGCTTTGGGTATATTATTCTACAACTTTAATAAGGAACCCCAAAGTAGTATATGTAAGGCCCCTATCTTAGGGCTTGTGGTTTCAGGTCTACATAGGTGTTTCGGGTTTAAAGAAGGGTTCAGGCTTCAGGGTTCAGGGTTTACCAAGTTCAGAGCTAGGGGATAGGGTTCAGAGTTTAGGGTTTAGGGCTTTTGGGTTTAGGGGTTTTTAGGGTTTAAGGTTTAGGATTTTGGGTCTAGGGTTTGGGGTGTAGGGTAGGATTCCGGGTTCAGGGCTCAGTGACCTACATGAACGGCAGGCTTCCTGAAACCCGGACACAGCAGCATCAAGTAGCCTTCTGTTGGTGGTGCACGCGCAGTGCTTGCAGCTCCACCGCTGCCTGCCAACTGCTTCATGATAACAAGACTCATGTTAATAATCGTATCAACATTGATAACAATACTATAGTGATATACTAATAACAACCGTAGTAAACTCTCCCATGTTTGGTCTTGGGGCTTAGCGTTTCGGGTTTAGGGTTTAGAGTTTGGCATGCCTCAACTCCCTTGTCTCACACTAACTGTCACTAACCACTCGCGGAATCCTTGGAAAGGCCTTCCACGTGGCCGCGTGTCTGTGCAAAGGTAAAAACATGTTTGGGCTCCTGGAACCGTGAAGGTCTCCCCCTCTCTCTCTCTCTCTCTCTCTCTCTCTCTCTCTCTATCTCTCTATCTCTCTCTCTCTCTCTCTCTCTCTCTCTCGCTCTCTCTATCTCTCTATCTCTCTCTCTCTCTCTCTCTCTGTCGCTCTCTCTCTATCTCTCTCTCTCTCTCTCTCTTGCTCGTTCTCGTTTTGCTTCTCTTGCTCCCTGTGTATACAGCCATACACTGCAGATGCATGCACCCATGACTACATATAACATATAACATATGTGTGTATACATATGTGTGCATACAGAATATTACAGACATATAACACTGACAGCGCATAAGTGGCTGACTCACGGACGGACGGACGGACGGACTAACCCCCTCTTGCAGCGAGAGCAGGAATAACGTTGACGCTACTCGTAAGACCTTTCATGACGACAGGGCTGTGGAACAAGTCTACTCTGTCTTCCTTCCAGCATTCAGGTGGCTCCGGTCTCTGTGAATTGAACGACTGGGTGGTTCTGAGGCCACCCTCCGCGCTGACACTTTTTCCTAAGCCCCTAAACCCTTATAGTAAAAGCCAGAAAGTTGGAATATGATTATCCTAAACCCTTTATGGTAAATCATAGGGTATCCTACCCTGAAACCATATTCCAACTTTCTGGAGTTCCCTTTAAACCCCCCAAATTCACCGGCTCGACTGGGCGGGACCGGGCTGTTCTATCCCTGGCCTGCTGCAGCTCTTGCTGAAGCATGTGCACTGTCTGCCGAAGCTTCGGCACCTTAGGTTTAGGGCTTAGGTTTAGGGTTTAGGATTCAGGACTTAGGGTTTAGGGTTTAGGGGTTTAGGGTTTTTTTAGGGTTTAGGGTTAAGGTTCTTAGGTTTAGGGTTTAGGGTTTAGGGTTCAGGGTTTGGGGTTTAGTGTTCTTAAGGTTCTTAGGTCTAGGGTGTCGGGCCAAGTTTAGGGTTTGGTGTTTGGGGGCTTGGTGACACAGCATGCACAAGTCCAGCATTGTATGCTTCTCTGAAGCTGCTGTGCTTGGACGTACGTTATGACAACACTTCTTGCAAGCATTGTTGCTGCTGCTTTCATTGCTGATGCTAGTATGCTATCACTACCGTACGATGAACAAGTCACAATAATCACAGCCACAATGGGGCTATATTATACTAGAGCTATCACCAAGATGGACCAAGAACCGTCAGGCATAATTTTAGTATTTTCTGACCTCGATGCACTCGCTGTGGCCGCTGTCAACTTGCCCCAAGCTCGGAATCGGGCCTCTTCCTTGGAGGAGGATTCCATGGACCTAAGGACGACCGCAACACTTCAGATGCAGATTGTGGCTGTGGTTTAGGGTTTAGGATTTAGGATTTAGGGTTTAGGGTTTAGGGTTTAGGGTTTAGGTTAGGGCCTGGGATGAAAAATTTAGGAGTCTAGGGCGTAGGATAAAGGATTTAGTAGCTTCGAGCTTAGGATTTCAAGGGATTCAAGGGTTTTCCGTGCTTTTTCGGCTTGAGATCCTGGGCTCCCGGCTCACTCTCTTGTCGGCTGGCCTTCCGCAGCTCGCATGTCAAGAGTCCCAGTGACTTCGACGCCCAGTGAATGTATTGCGGTTTTTTTGTGGGGTCCCTTTTCAAAATTAGGTCCCTTTTGGGCTCCCTTTTTATCCGGGTGCCGTACTAGTTTTTGCGGCCAAGAAAGGGACCCCAGTTTAGAGAACGAGCCATGTGCAGACGAGCCTTGATGTACTGCTCAAGCTCCTGGATCCGGTCCTGCGTGCAGGGATGAGGGTTTAGGGCTTAGGGTTCAGGTCGGATTTCTCAGTTGAGAGGGAGACTGCCCCGGCCTCTGCGGCAGCACACCTCTTCTGCACTTGCTGGTGCTCTTCCTTGGTCGGAATTTTGCATTTGGAGTATGCTATAGTACACTATTCTACTGGTAGGGACTTTCAGGGGATATCTTCATTCTTGTAGGTAGGGATTTCCAAGGGATACTTTCGTTAGTTGTTCAGACTCACGCTGTGGCACTTCCCCGCGACTCCAATACCCCTTAATGAAGGAACCACAACATGATTTACGGTATGTTCCTTAATTAAAGGGATGTTAGACTCCCCTAAACCCTAAACCCTATAGATCCCTTAAAGGAACGCTAGCCCTAGGTATTCCTTAATTACGGGGTATTGGAGTCTCTGGGTTCATGCGAAGATGCAGGGAGGCAAAGCCCGCGACGAAGCCAACCATGGCAGCCCATGGGGCCAGCTGCCTCAGAGAAGTACGTTTTAGGGTTCAGGGTTTAGGGTTTCGGGGTTTCGGGGCTTAGGGGTTTATATAGGGTTTAGCTGTTTAGGGGTTTAGGGTTTAGGGGTTTAGGGGATCAGGGGTTCGGGGTTTAGGGTTTAGGGGTTTAGGGTTTTGGTCCATGGGGCCAGCTGCCTCAGAGAACCGAGAACCCAGACACTCCAATATCCTTCAATTGAGGAATATGCCTTGAATCATATTCGGATCCTTAAAGGAACCCAGGTATTCCTTAATTCAGCCCCTAAACCCTAAACCGTTCTAGATCCCTTAAAGGAACCCAGGTATCCCAAAATTAAGGGATATTGGAGTCTCTGGGAGAGCCGAGGCTTCTAGCTCGGGCCAAAATAGGCCCCCGACACTTCTAGAACTCAATAAAGCGCCACCGAGAGCCCTTTTGCAAACCCTATGTTCAGATCCACCGAATATCCATAAACCCTGGAAAAAACCCACCAAAATCCCCTGGAACAACCCGCTTCATGAGCTCCCAAAAGCTTGCAGGAACCGAGGGCCGGACTCAGAAGGGTCGCTGGGCAGAGCTCTGAGAGAAAAGCCCTGGCTCGGCACTCAAAGAGACGATGGAAGGCCAAGGAACTCACTACTTTCGGAATAAAGCTTAGGGTTAAGGGATTTCTTTTGTTAACCCTCTTTTCCGAGGGATTAGGGCTCAGGGTTTAGGGCTTAGGGTGTAGGGTTTAGGATTTAGGGTTGAGGCCTTATGTCTGAGTGTTTAAGGTTTAGGGGCTGAGGGTCTAGGGTGTCTTTAGGGTATCAGGGTGTCATAATACGTGCTATTCCGTCTTAAAAGTCCATAGAGGTTTCTGCACGGGTTTCTATAGGGATTATTGCAAAAGGCTTCGATAAAGGCGGCTGTTCCGGGCTACCATAATAAGGGTTACTAAGTGTGTGCCAGGATAATAAGGCTGCGATTTGGGTTTAGGCTTTGGGGGTCCTTCAAAGACTAGACCTAAGAGTAACCTAGGAATGAAAAGGGTGCCCTTTTTGGTTTAAAGGGGCTTATATAGGGGAACCTGAACCCTAAAAAAGGGAATAAGGGCCTACTCTGGGTCCTAGAAGATACTTGTGAGGGTACGGTGCTACAAGGGAGATCAGGCTTCCGGGTCTTGGGGCGTGGCGGGTTAAGGGGTAGGGGTAACCCTAAACCCTAAACCCTAAACCCTAAACCGCAAAAGGCTTCCTGTAAAGGGTACGGCAAGGGTATTGCTAGGATGCCCACACTTCTAGGTTTCGGGTTCAGTGCTAAGGGCTCAAAGCCTTGAGGCTTAGGGTTTAGGGCTTGAGGTGTAGGGTAAAGCCTGGCTTCAGTTGCGTGGCGCCTGCAATGTCGTGTGAAACCGAAGCTTTCTCCTAGATCTTGCAAAGGGGGCCTCAAGAATTACAACTGGGTTTTGCTGCTGGCATTTGTTAAATCAGGTCCCTTATGGACTAATCTTTCATATTCAGGCTGCCATACTAGGTCAGCCCTTATTCCCAGATCGTGAACGGCCGCTACAGCTTGCTTGGATTTCATTTCTGCAGTGTCAGTAGAACTCCGTAGCATAGCCTGCAAGACGCAAGAACAACAGCAAGTGTTGATGCCAGCCACCAGCAATGACAGTGCTACGACTTTCAATGATACGCGATATATACAAAAGCTCCCGCCTGGGGCTTATACTATTGCATACACAATGCATGCATTGACATCAAAGGAAAACTAAACAAACAAGAACAAACCAAAAAAAAATAACGAAAAGATATATCCCAGGCCTCTGTCGAAACCCTTTCAGTCCCTAATCCCTAAACCGCATTTGAGATCCTACCACCCTAACATCGCTACTCCCTCAACCCTAGACCCAAAACCCCTACACCCCTAAACTCCTAAACTCCTGGCTCCTAAACCCCTGAACTTCCAAACCCCTCCTTGGAGGTTCATGGGTAGTTATAAGTGGTGTTATAAGTCCCCGAAGAGGAGCTATAACTATAGCTATCCTACTTATAACCCTACTTAAAACTACCCATGAACCTCCAAGCAGGCCCTAAACCCTATACCCTTACAGAATCCCTATAGATCCCTTTAAAGGGACCCTTAAAGGAGCCCTACTGATAACTACCCATGAACCTCCAAGTAAACCCTAAAACCCTAAAATCCCAAACCCTCCTAGAGCTAGGCAAGGTCACAAGTAAGTTCGCTGTTCCGATTTGCCCAAATTCACATAAATCCATTTACCACTTCGCCCCCTTAAACATTCACCACTTTACCACGAAATATTCATTTACCACCTCGCCACCTCACACAATAACCACTTTACCACAAATTACCTATTTACCACCTAGCCACCTTAAACAATCCCCCTATACCATAACTACCAAAAACTCTCCTATTAATAAATTATGAACGGCATAGGTTGCCCTTTATAATTTGATGTATCAAATTATGAACCTACTTATGTGGTGCTGTTAGAAAACATCCCCCCAGAGCAATGCTGTGGCCGGTAGGTAGAAAACCCCTAAACCTAATTACCTCGCATCTTGGTGGCAATCGCTACACCGAGCCCTTCTTCTACGAGACGGTGCGCCTTGCGCGTTTTTCTTTTGAAGTGCCTGTGTGGGTGCTTCTCGTCAGGAGAGTGGGCGCATAGCAAGTCTTGAAGCATTCAACGCACCTGCCACCTTTGAGATACTGCCTCTCAAAGAACATCCCTATTTCAAGTGTCTTCCTTCTTTCCAGCACCGTGCTATGGCAGTGGTGTTTGTGAAGCGCGGTGATGACTTGGTGCCCTGTTGGGTGGAGACAGGGCATATCATTGACACGGAGGAACTTATCCCCCTTACCAAGCCCGACCTTGCAACCCACTTGCCCAAATTGTCCAAATCGTGCCTCGTGAGCCTCATTTACAGGGAGGATGGCGTGATGAAGGATAACAGTAAGGACAAGCAACGCTGGAAGATGACCAAGGACGAAATGGTTGCCTACATTACCGAGCATTGGGAAAACATCCTGACCACAACAACCGAGGTCAAGAAGATGTTTTCTACCCGTCGCGTGGTGTCTGATGCGATGGATAAGATGATGGCACCGCTTGAAACGGCAACCAAATCCATTCGTGAGGACATCGGAGGAGATGGCAAACGAACCATTTTGCTGATGAACAAGTATGGCGCCCCCACCATCACTACTGGTTTTCGTGTCTTCTACTTGCAGGGTCTTCTTCACGTCAGCACTGCTGAGGGTTGCTACATCGCCGACAAGGACATTCTCACCACCGAGAATGTTGTGCTCTTGAACCGCAATGATGCCGAGGACGACGGCGAGCAGAACAGCGTGTCGGACGCAACACAGTCGTCACGCGTGCTTTGCGACACCATCAAGGAGCAGTCGGATATGTTGAATGCCGTGTGCGAGAAGGAGGAGACCGGCAATGACAGCCCTACTGCCTCAGAAGCGGAGGCCATGAAGCAGGAACTGCTGATGCAGGCACTCACCGACTGCCTACCCGTGCCCCACCGCGGTATGCAGTTCCTCCTTGACAACATCGGCTCTTGCTCACTTGAAGTCCTGCGCGAACTTCTCCCAGACTTCACCGAGGCTGAAAACACTGCCGTGAAGATGAGAAAGGCAATCGCCGATTGCATTGAGAAGTTGGAAGGTGACCAGCAAGGCAAACCCTACACGGTCTTCTTGCTGACAGAGGACGGACAGGAAACCCTTCCCATTTTCAGCGATGACACGGCAGAGAGCATCCTCACCAAGTATCAGGCGACGCGCCACATCCCTTTCACAGACCCTGTGATTATCGGGTGCGACATTGAGAACAAGATTATCGGTTGGACTTTGCGGTTGAAGTCTGTTTTCAGCAAGTTTGAGTCAGACGACATTGATGGTGGCGCTGAAAGTGGCTATGGCTTACTCATTATGCCTCGCGAGACATACGACTACTACGTCTATGAGAACGGCATTGAGACGGACAGCGACAACGAGAACGGCATTGAGATGGACACTGACACCGAGGATGAAACCCAGATGCGAAAGAAGCAGTCGGATATGTTGAATGCCTTGTGCGAGAAGGAGACCGGCAACACCATTGACATCAACACCAAGGGCGACATCACAAAGCCTATGGAAATGGAGGTGCAGACCGAGCAAGGCTCGGTCAAGTTGGTCTTTCACTACGTGGTCGGGGCTACTGGCGAGAACCTGTTTGAGGCCTTGACGGAGTTTGGGTTGGATGCCACGCTCTTTCAGGTGAAGTTCGCTGGGACTGCTTCTGTGTTGCAGGGCTATGACAGTTTGGAGGCTTACAGTGACCAGACCTTCCAGATTGTGCCCTTGCTCGCTGGCGGTGGCAAGCGTGGAATGAGCAGTGAGCCACGTGCAAAGATGAGCATTGAGGACAAGATGCGGGCTTTGACCGACGCTGTCAATGTTGCCTACATTACCGTCCAGACAACGCCGACGCCGGCAAGCACTGATGCGATGACAATGATTTCCACCTTGAAGGTTCAGATGGACACCGCGCCTAACAGCATCATTACCAAGGTCTTTGAGGGCATCCCTACCAGCACCTTGAAGGTTTTGTCGGGGGCTTCGCACACTCACAATCTTGATTTGAAGGTTTCTACTATGGCAAAGGCGATTTTCAAGGACAAGTTCAACAACCTTCACGGCGGCATCAAATCTTGCCAAGTTGCCGAGGTTGCTTTGAAAGATATGCTCCATCTTATGTTCTTGACGCAGTTTGGCAGTGCTGAGCAGAAGGGCGTTTCTTGGAACGAGGTTTCAAGCGCTCTGGTTGATATGATTGAGGCGCGGGCGTCCAGAACGGATGCCGATTTGTAAGCAAAGGTTCTCGCAACCTGTGGCCACTGTCTCGCGCAACCTGTGGCCACTGTCTCGCGCAACATGTCGCCACTGTCTCGGGCACTTGTTGTATTCAAATAAAGGGCAACACGTAGGGGCTGTTTCGGGCACTTTCGCGCAACAGTATGAGGCTGTGGCGACAGCGCTTTTTGTTGAAAACCGCCAGCAGAGCGGGACAACAGCACGAGGGGTGAGGGGGGAAAGGCAGTAGTGCGATGCGCCAGCAGATTTGAGACAGTTTTGCCAGTGCAGTGTGTGCGCGCTTCCGTTTTGCACCCCTACCCCCTAAACCCCCCAAAAAACGCGACTTAACTCCGTGGCAGGTGCTCCTGTTCTCCAACGACACTTTGCAGTTCCAGTTCGTGGCACCGGTGCGCCCCGCTGGGTTTTTAGGTTTTAGTTTCGGGTTAGGGTTTTTAGTTTAGGTTTTAGTTTCGGGTTAGGGTTGCGGTTGTTGCAAACAACCCTCTCAGAACTGGGAGCGGACAAAGGGGGAACATGACTGTTTAACAGTCCAAGCACTGCGATGGCCTCAGATTGTTGCGCACCCTAAACCCCTATGCACGGCTTAACCCCTAATAAAGAAAGATGAGAGGAGAGAAGAAAGAAATTTCGGCTCAAACGGCTCAAACACATAATAAATATAATATATTTGTATATTATATCTATCATTTTTACACCTTTAACAACTCATGCCTTAAATAACCTCTTGTATCATTATCTAAATAATAATATTTTTGACCTAATTTTTTCTCTAATTTAGTGATTGTTTGTTTATTTTTCAACCAATGACTTGAATGTTCCTTTTCGCTAATGCCTTTTTTACGCATAACCTTAACCTCATCATTAACATTTAAATCCGGATACATACGTGTTCGTTTAGCATTTAAACTAATATGTAATTTAACGGCGAATTCATTTTTAGGTTTGCGCGCCTCAATCGGCGTAAATCCCGTTACTGAACTTACCATTTTATTATTATATGTTAATAATATCTCTAAATTATAATCTATCCACTGTAAATTTTGCTTACCTTTCTTTTCACTCGCTTCAATCCGTTTGAATAACATATCTTTGTATGTTCTGATGAAACGCTCGGCAAAGGCTGGGTGTCCTCTCGTTCTATGTATTTCTATGTTCTCTTTCTCTAAATACTCTATAATTGTTTTACTATATAAACTACCCTCCTCATCTGAATAAAAAAGTTTAGGTTTATCACCCATTTTTTGTAGTCCTTCCATTATTCCCGCTAATACATCAGGCGGTTCTTTACTTTTAATAGGTATGACAGTAGCATATTTACTAAAAATATCAATTAATACTAATCCTATTCTAAATTTTTGATTTTCTAAGTCTTTACTACTTATAAAGAATAAATCCACTTGATACTCCCAATGTGCGTGAGGTGCTACAAATGAATTCTCTCCTCTGGGTTTTCGCTTCTCTTCAACGTTTTTCTTGAAGAATTCCTCAACATCATCCTTTGTAATACTGGCGTCTTTCTTTTTACTGTCTTTAAGTGTAGTAGCCCTACTCCCGAAACCGGAGCGGTCAAAATAAATATCTGAAATAATTTTTTGCTTATCAGAACTCATTATAATATATATTATATATTAGTTTAATGAGCACTACAATTACAATACCGACACCAAGCAACACAATTATCCACACTGTGGCATAACTCATTATCAACACGCTGGGCAGTAAAGTTAGAACATAATTTGCCCTTTTTAATGCCTAATTCAAATTTCACACCGCATTTTTGACAATTACCCTTCATTCGTTTTAAACACCACATCTCATTAATATACATATCATCGTTTATTTCCCTGTTTGCTTTCCTGTCCTGTTGCTTATATCCTTCCACCTTGTTTTCAAAATAATCCATTATCAGTTTCTTGTCCATTTCCTTTTCAAAGGCACTGCTCTCGAACAACAACACTTTGTTAAAATCATCACAGCGTGTAATCGCTGTCCAAAGCCATTCTCTACTAACTAATGGCGACTGCCACTCGTGTATTGTTATTGTATCTTTGATTGTAGCACCCTGTGCTGAATGACAGGTGATACAGTAATTGTATCTAAAATGCTTCTCTATGGTTTCTCTATCTACCGTGCATTGTTCTAAACTCTTTATGTTTTCCAGTAGATAGTTGCCTTTATCAACGCCTTTGATTTTGTACCTAAAATTCACATTTATCTTTTTACTGCCTATTTTCTTATACAACCTGCATACTAATACCTCACCTATTTCATAATCAGTTGTTTTACCGAGTCTCTGCCGAACCGTGTTTGAAACATCCGCGCACCTCTTGTTGGTGTATGCTATGTTGTATGTGGATGCCATTACATCGTTGGTCATCTTAAAGTATTTCTTTATCAACTCTTTCAGTCCCAACCGATGAACCCAAAAATCATTATACATCTCATTTACTGTTCTCCTGTTGTCTTCGTCCTTTGCCCTTTTGGATATTTCCAAAAAGATGTGGTGTGTGAAGATGACATCTAAACAGTGATTGCCATATGCCTCTTTGTTCTGGCAGTTGGTCATATCCTCTATCGGCGGGAGTTGCTTGGTATCACCAGTGGCTATGATAATCTTATCGGGGTTGTTCTTTACAAACAGTCTAATCTTATTTAGCATATACATAGATGCCATATACACCTCATCAAACACGATTACATTAAAAGGCGAGTGGTCAAATATTGGCAGTTCTTCGCCTTTCTCCATAGGGACACTAAAAAACTTGTTTAATGTTATTGCTTCACACTCCTTTTCTTGCGACAGTTGATTAGTGCCTACAACGAACAATGCATTATAACCTAATTTCTTAAAATACTCGCCTATATAACTCTTACCTGTGCCACCCACCTTCCCTTTAATTAAGCATTTGCCCCCTGCTTCTTCCTTTATTTGCTTGATAATGGTTTCCGTGTTCCATTCATCCTTTATACGTACTTTTTCATTTACCTGTTTCGGTATATTAATCAGTTGATTAAACATTATTTTTCGGTTCTCCTCTGGCAACCTGATTACCTTGCCCACTTCGGCTCTCCATTCGCCGATTACAGTGCCAAATTTTAGTATCTCTTTTGCCTTGTTCAAGTCCGAGGTTTTAATGGTCATAGCATCGGCTTTTACACTATACACCTCCACGCCATTAGCATTTAAAAGACTGTGTGCTTCAAACATTCTATAATTATGGTCTTGTAGAAGCACTTCCTTAATATACCGAAAGCCATTGCTTAAAGTCCTCTCGTCTGACACATTTAAGATATAATATTTTGAAACGTATTTCGTGCAATCCTCCTGTATATGTATCTGACCATCTACCACAGCGAACCGTTCCAAAAAACCGTCGCCAGTCATAAAGAAGTCATCTTCAAAATCCCACTCTGTTATACTGCCTTTAATTTCATCAGTTAAGGGCGTGTATGTATAATCGTCCTGTGCCTCGTCTATGGCATACACTCGCCCCCCATACAGTTTTTGATAATACATTGCCTCGTCCAGTGTTTCAAACATCCTGCTCCTTTGCGCCTTGTTGCGCGACTTCTCTAACAATCCGAAGTTTATATTGGCAATTAACTTTTTTATTTGTTTGTTTTGGTGCTCGTCCTTGCTTATGTTAGTTGCCCACAGTTCATCAACGATTTTCTTGTAATCTACCTTGTGTATATGCGACGGCTGTTTGAAATATAATATTTTTGGTTTAATGCCTCGTGCCATTATTTTCCTAAGATACTTGCCGTAAATGAGGTTGTGCTTCTTATTAAAATACATATTTGAACCTGTGTTCTCCACCATAAACAGGGTTAGTGATGGCAGTGTGTTTATGTCTTCGTTTTTATAAGGCTTCCATATATCAAACTGCCTAAACACCGGTATTTTATTTATGCTGGTAAATGCTTTTGTAAATGCTTTGTTTAAATCTATTTCGGTTAGTTGCTCGCCACGAGCCTCGTTTAACAACCCCGTCGGCACAACCGTTCTGCACTCGTCCAGCACCTGCACATCAACCTCGTTATAATGCGATTTATGCGCTTCGTTAAATATCTTCTTGTTCATTGCGAACATTGCCTTACTGGTTCTGTTATGCACCCTCTCGCTTGATACCACAACATCCTCATCAATCCTGTTGCTATTCATATTTTGCGATTTTATTGTGTAGTTTATGGTTTTGTTTAATTTTTTGTATCTCCACCTCACTTTGAGTTCCGATATAGTCCCTGCTTGGTATTTCACGAAGGGTTCGTATCCCGACTGCTTGAAGTCGTGTAGCAGTTTTGGTAAGTCGTTGTCTCTGTGGATTAAGGTATAATCTTCGCGTAGCACGCGAGCATTCGCGTCTTCATCTGTGAGTTTAAGTAGGTCATTGATATTATCTATCATCTTGCATTTTACGTATTCTTTTCGGTCGTCTATGTGGTAGTTATCACTGACCTTAACTTGCATATCGTGAGTTTTGTGCATATCTTCTTTTTTTAAACTTTTAAGGTCGTTGTTGATGACATAAATGTGGTTGCCCTTCACTAACCCGTTAAAGGTTCGGACATTGTTGAGGCTTTTGGTGGGGTCGTGCTTATAAATTAAATTACAATTAAAATCAAATATTCTGGCAGGTATGTTGTATTCCTTAAATATATGCTCCATTTGCATTATACTCACCCCTTTTTCTACAAACTCCTCCTCGGTCATTTTTAACATTTCCAACACCCGTTCTCTTGTCAATGCGGGTTTTGCTAACGAGCCCCTCCTTTGTCTCATAAGTGTTTCCTCGTAGTGGTCGGTAAGTGCATTTATCCAGCATTCATTTTCGCGGTAGTTGTCTTTTGCGATTGCCTCCTTGACTGTCATATAGTCTGTGTTTATCTCGGTTTCTACATACCTGTTGTAGATGCTGATGTTCTGCGCATTTCGTAGGTTTCTGGTCGTGGGGGTTTTATCACTGTCCTTTTCATCTACCTCTTCTACTTTC